AGCTCGCGGCTGCTGGTCTCTGTCGCAGAGCGATGAGGGGGAACGCGGCCTGGGAAGGTGCGCGCCATGTCCGCTCTTTGTCTTCCCAGCAGGTGTTTCAGCATTGGAAGATCGCCCCGTTCTGCGTTGAGCTTCGTGTTGGACGGCTGAAGTGGTTTCATGGAGTTGGCATTCACCCCGAATCTCACTGACAATTGGTTGCTGCCTGGTTTGGCACGCTCATAGGGGAAAAGGTGATTGGGGATTCGATCTCGGCGGCGCCGGGCGCGAACCCTTGGCCTTTGCGAATTCTGTCGGACATTGAGCAGCTTGTGCTTGCGTCCGAGGAAGCTCATGACCTGTGGACTGAAGCTCGCAGGACTTTAAAAAAGTGTTCGAGCCCGAATTTGCCGCCCGAGTTTACGGATAGGTGTCGAGATTCTGCGTAGTGTTTCCCTCGGTGTAAATACTGGACCCGACTCTTCCGAGCCCTGTGCGGGATTCAGTCTTGGAGCCCAGGAGGCCGAGGCATTTTTTACCGAACGAATGCGCGTTTGCCCATGGTTCGATGAGACGGGCCCATGTGGGGCCACCTTTAGTTGCAAAGCTTGACTAGCCAAACACATTCGGATTGCACATGACAGCGTCAAGCTCTCTCACGCCCCCACACTCGCTAATCAGCGTTTACGATGTGAAGAAGTGTTCGGATAACGGCTGACAGCATGCAAACATCTCTGGGGCCCGGCAACATGGGCGGCGTCTGAAGTATAAAGCGACGACGCTTAGCGAGACCGTGATTCCTGGTGTCTTAGTTTGTAGAGCATGTTGTTCAACTTCTCTGAGGACTCACGAGTATCATCTTCGCGCCCGGACGCACCTCACTCACGCTCTTGTCTTACCACATGGACGTGCTCATCGGCGACGATGAGACGCCGCCATGGGCTGGGGTCCACATCGCGCCAGCGACACCAGGAGCCACACGCGGTGCATAAGAAAGTGCAGGTTCACAGCCCGACGCGAAGTCCGCCAGCAAGGGCCAACGACAAGGAGACGGCAACTTCGGCACGAAGATCGCCAACAGAGTCTACTCCGACGGAGTGCAGCAGCTCCACGAGAAGAAGAAGGCGGGGGAGGACGAGGACCTGAGTGCGCCTGGGCCGCCGTTCATCACAGCACCCATCCTCGCGACCCGTGCGATGGCGAGGTCGACGCCCGAATCAATGCGCAACAAAACCAAGGCGTTTCACGACGCACACGTCAAAGAGAAGAAATATCAGTGCATCGCTTCGCTCATCAGGCACTTCCCGATTCGCGCGCCAAGAGGGCCAGGCTCGAAGCAAATGGAGGGCATAGTTCGGCTGCAGTTCTCGATGGGCCCGGACCCGTGCTCGGAGGCGGCGATGGAGCTGTCCGATCTCGTCCTTCAGGGTCTGTAGGCCATCCAGTTGATTGGCTCAGCGCCGAAGGGCCCGCTCGAACGATAGGTCATCAACATGCTCGAGAGGAAGAGTCAGAAGTGAAGCTTGTACCGCCTCCTGTCTTTGCCTCTAGCGCTCGCTTTCGAGAGCTGGCCGCGCGTGGGGCCACCAGTCAGAGTTCTATCGCTGGAAATGTTGTAGTGCCACTTTCAGAAGAAAAAAAAGGAAGGGGGGGAGTCGTCGTCGTGAGAACGGGGGGCGGGGTCGGGGGAAGGGTAAGTAGGCCTGAGAGCGTTGCTGGTGTCAGCGGGGTCGTTGCGGGGCCGTTCCCCGCCACAGCGATCCTCGCGGCCTAGCGGTTATGTGGCCGCCGCAGGGCCACGATTCAAAGGACTTGAGAGGATGGTTGTAAGCCGCATAGGGCCAGTCTTTTTTACGGACGCCAAGTCCCCTTCATATTCTGCTGTGTCTGCAGCCGTGGCTTTTTCAGAGTCGAGGCTACTGTGCGGCGAAATTGCGAAGACGGAGCCCATCGACCCCAATAGCTTTCGTATCGTATCGTATCCTCCTCCTCCTCCTCAATCCTCCTCCTTCTCCTTCTCCTGTTCCTCCTTTTCCTCCTCACAGGTACCGCGCCTGGCCTTCTTCACGTCACGCCTACGCGTGGACTCACGGAGATCAGACGCGTGGTTGTTACCAGTCGTGAAGCCTTCCTTGTCACTGCTGCGGGGGATAATAGAAGTCTTGGAGCGCGTGCGTATCCTGAGTCAGTCGTGTCATGACATCGTTCTCCTTTTGACCTCGGGCCAGGGCCACCGCCGTGTGGCACCCGACATGCTGCCGCCCTCCCCGCGCCGATTCTTGCGGTCAGCATGCTGAACTCAAGAACCTCTTTGTGTGCAGGATGGGGTTCTGGTTTCCGCGCTTGTTCATCATGTGCCTTTTTTGGGGGGGGGAGTATCGCGAGCCGCTTCGCAATGCAGAAATATGGAAAGGCGAGCGCGCAAAAAAATGAAATCATAGGCGGACACAATGACGCGGCATGCAACATTACGGGTGTTTGCCTGTCGAGCATCTCATGTTTAAAGTTTGTTTTTGGCATTGAAAAATTGGCCATGTGGCAATTTCTCGTTTTTTGCCGTTCAGTCGGTTCTGTCTTGGGGTGTTCCCGGGTCGCCCGGCCGGTATCGGGGGGCATTGTTGCGATAAGAACGAATGCCGCCAGAGCGGCCCGCGCGTCGAGACATTGGCAACATGTTGAGTTGGTTTGGCCCGTCTCGCACGAGACATCGTCGCAAGCTTGCGTTCCGAGACGACCAGATTTGACATGGTCCGGCCCGCTTGAAACATCCTCACAATTCTGGGCTCCCAGACGCTGCGCGAGAGGTGGTCCTGCCCATAGCGTTTAAACCATCCTCGGAACTTTTGGGTTCGGGGATACCGTGACCTGAGATTCCTCGTCCGTTTCGCTTGAGATATCGTCGCTACGCTGGGCTTGAAGATGCCGCCCACGAGGTGATCAGGTCAGTCTGGCCTGAGACGTCCCCGCAATTCTTGGCAAAGAGATGCCACGTGGGAGGGGGTCCAGCCAGTTTCGCATGAGACGTCCCCGCAATTCCGAGCAACCGTTTAGGATTGCGAGGCGAAGGAGGAGTGGGAAAGGAGGAGGATGATTGAGGACGATCGGGAGGGGTGATAATGCTCGTATTGCTGTCAGACAAGTACTCTTGTTTTCAATGCTCTCGGGACGCTTCTCCTCGCCAGGGCTGGACGCGGCTCGATCCTACCTGGTGATGCGGGCTGGCTGCCGACGAAGGGTGCGTCACGGGCCCGTTCGCGACCACATTGTGGATGTCGCGCACGGTCCGTTTGTTTTACGGGCTGGAGGTGTGTTTCGGAGCCGTATGGTCCTCGCTGACAATTTCGGTTGGCTTTCGGGGCTGTTTTGGGCGCCGTCCAGGGCTTGCCTTGGCTGGCGGGGTGGGGTAGTGCACCTGAGCCCGGGTGCCCGGGTCGCCTGGGACAGCTCCAGGCGACCTTGGCAACCCCAACGGTGATGCCGCGGAGGTGCCCGGGAGGGGTTGCCTTCAAAAGAGCTAGGTGCGCCCCAAGGCCCACAGAGAGCCGTCCTCGGAACCTCGGGCTCCGAGATGCCCTGACTTGATGTGCTCTGGCTCGTTTCGCTCGAGACGTCCTCACAATTCTGGACTGCAAGATGTGGTTCGAGGTACTCAGGCCCGTTCTGCATGAGACATCCTCGGAATTCCAGGCTCCGAGATGCCCTGAATTGAGGTGTTGTGGCCCTTTCGCTTGAGACGTTCTCACAACTCTGGGTTCCAAGATGTGGTTCGCGAGGTACTCAGGCACGTTTCGCCTGAGACATTCTCATAATCCCTGGCTCTGACCGTTCGGCCTGAGACGTCCTCGCAATTCTAGGTTGAAGAAGCGGTTCACGAGCTGCTCAGGTCCGTTTCGCTTGAGACATCTTCAGTACCCTGGGTTCCGAGATTCGCTGACCTGAGATGCTCAATCCCGTTTCACCTGGGACATCTTCATTACGTCGTTCGCTTGAGACATCTTCGGAACCAAGGCTTCGAGATGCCCTGAATTGAGGTGCTCTGGCCAGCTTCGCTTGAGACGTTCTCACCATTCTGGGTTCCAAGAAGTGGTTCGCGAGGTACTCCGGCACGTTTCGCCTAGGACATCCTCGGAATCCCTGGCTCTGACCGTTTGACTTGAGACGTCTTCGCAAGTCTATGTTGAAGATACGGTTCGCAAGGTGCGTAGGCCCGTCTCGCTTGAGACATCATCGGAACCCTGGTCTCCGAGGTGCCTTGACTTGAGGTTCTTTGGCCAGCTGGGCTTGAGACATCCTCGCAACTCACACCTCTGGGTTCCAAGATGCGATTCGCGAGCTGCTCTGGCCCGTGTCGGCTGAGACATCCCTGGGTTATAAGATGTGGTTCGCGAGGTACTCAGGCCTATTTCGCCTGAGAAATCCTCCGAACCCTGGGCTACTGCGAGATTGCTCTGAATTGTGGTGCTCTGGCCCGTTTCGTTTGAGACGTTCTCACGACTCTGTGTTCCAAGACGTGGTCGGCGATGTGCTGAGGCCCGTTTCGCTTGAGACATCCGCGTAATCCCTGGCTCCGAGATGCCCTGACTTGCTGTGACCCCGGTGGAAGTGCGCCACGCTTGAAGGCATCGTTGATGGAGTTGATGCTGGAGTTGCCCCTGGTGCCGTGGGAAATTGGGGATCAATATAATGTGACAGAACAAGCGAGAAGTCGCCATACATGCAAATTTTTAAGATCAGTCCTTCGACGGTTTCTTGATCTTAGGTCCAGGACAGCCGTTCACCACTGCGGTTACGAAGGACCAGTGGGTTCGTCGTCACCGCCATGGTCAACGGCGGGTGCATCACCCACACTCGGCATCCACCGCGCCACTTGTCTCATGAATGCTGCTCGGATTCCGAGGTTCACCATGGTCAGAAAAGCCTCTTCGCTCTTTCTTCGGTGCTCCCCGTGGTAACACGATGGCTGCACCCCTCTCCGGGGCTGCGGCTGCGCCCTGTGCCGCACAGTGTCGGGGCGCCGCGAGGACATCGTGCCGCTTCAGCGGACTCTCCGCGACGCGCTCAGCAGCGCCATGAGCGCGGCCGCGAGCGGCCAGGCGGGCGCCCCCTCCCCCCCTTGCGAGAGGGCCAGGGGAGGAAGAACGCACGGGGGGGAGGGAGGCGGGCGCGAGGAGGAGGCGGAGGAGGAGGAGGAGGAGGAGGAGGAGGAGGAGTCCGTAGCTACATTGGCACAAGCATGGGCTCGAGGTTCACCGCGCGGGAGTTCTGCGCCAGTCGCGATCTTTGCGGCAAGCCGCTTGGCGGCCGCAAGTTCTATTTTCGCAGAGTCCTTGCGGGAGTGCGATGGCGCTGTGCTCAGGAGTTGAGCAGCGCGACTTGAAGCAGTGGTCGAATGGAGCAGCGCGTCTTCAAGCAGTACGTTTTCGAGCAGTGCGACGCCCACGGCCACTTCATGGTCGTAACGATCAGCGCGACTCGAGCAGTCCGTGTGCGTGGTCGAGGCGAGCAGCGCGACTTCGAGCAGGATGTCTTCGAGACGTGCGACGACCACGGCCACCCCCGCGATGAGCTCCACGGCAACAGTGAGCAGCAGCGGGAGCGTGGTCGCGACGAACCGAGCTAATCGAAGCAGTACGATCCCGAGCAGTACGACACCCACGGCCACCTTTACGGTGTGTTCACCGGCATCAGGGGGCAGCAGCGTGTGCGTGGTCGAGACAAGCAGCACCTTTTCGAGCAGTGTTTCGTCCACGGCCACTTCCGTGGTACGCTCCACGGCAACAGCGAGCAGCAGCTTGAAGGTGGTCGAGACGACCAGCGAGATTTCAAGTGGTTCCCCAGTCAAGTGGTGGACTGAGGGGGTGGACTGAGGGGGACATGTGGGGCTTCCTGAGTCTCGTGCCCTCCTGCACCTGGCATTCTCTCCTAGGTCCAAACATAGCGCAGGGCCTGCAGCCTAGTTATCGTATATTATAGCCACTTCGCCCCTGCTAAGTCGTACCAGCCGTGCGTAGTGACGCCGGATTACTTTCCCCGGCCTGCGCGTGACGTTAAGCAGGTTGCGTGCCGCAGGCGCCCGCGGGATGCTTCCCAGTGCTTCCCCGGCCTGCGTACGTGCATTCGTAGTAAGGGCCCGTCCGACCGTCCGATGCTCTCGTTCTGGGTCCTCTGCCCAGCTGCCACCAAGGCAGTTGAACCCTTCTGGGGGTGCATAAAGGTGCCTAAGGCCACCCACCAGTCCCCATTGCACATTTTCATGTTTGGTTCGCCTTCCTCGATCTTGTTCGCGGCTTGGTGCTGACGCGTCTCAAAACGAGGAGGAGGAGGAGGCGGAGGGAGGCCCCTCCCAAGGAGCTTGACCCAGAGCCTGCTGTGTGGCGAGTGCCGCCGCCTCCCCCCCCTCGCCCCGCCCCTAGGGGGAGCTGGCGCGCCGCGCTGGGAGAGGAGCACGACGGCGACGACGACGAGGGAGAAAAAGGGGAAAGGAGTAAGGGATAGGTGTCAAGGATAATGGATAAGGTCTACGGGACAGGGGATAAAGGGAAAGGGCGGATAAAGGACAAAGGATGAGGGACAAGGGGCCCCAGCGGAGGAGCTGTCGGAATAACGGGGGCAGTCGAGGCGGGAACAGAGTGTCTATGGCGAGTGCGACGAGTGGGGATGTGCGAGGAGGACAAAGGAGGCGTGAGCAATAGGGAGTGATCTTGAGGAGGAGGAGGAAGAGGAGGAGGAGGAGGAGGAGGAGCGGAAGAGGACCGAGGTGCGTGCAGCAGGAGGAGGGCGCGGAGACGGGAAGGAGGAGGAGAAGCACGAAGCAGCAGGCGAAGCTAGAGGAGAACGACGCTGATGGAGGCGAGAGGGAGGGAGGAGTACCGACCGCGGTCCGTCGATCGGGCAGCCGAGGAGCCTCCCGGGCCTCCCTCCTCTCTGCATCCGTCTCGCTTCTGGTCGCCGGCGGCCGCCTTGCTGCAGTGCGCCGCTCTTGGGGTGAAGAGCTCAATGACCCCCGGAACGCGCGCTGACCCGACAGGTGCTTACCCCGTCCAGCTTCGCCGATCCGGCGGCGGGTGAGGAGGCAAGTGAAAAGGATAATAAGGCCTTCTCGGAAGGCGGCGGGGCTTCTCAGAAGCCAGCCAGCCTTCCGAGAGACGTTCTGAGAATGATCGAGAAGCTCCAGACTGGCCGCACTTCTCGCCAGCGCCTCTCGCCTACCGCCGATCGTTATGGCATAACATGGCATGTCGTTTTTGATATCGGGTCTGACGCGACGCATGTAATCGAATATGATGTCCCAAGAGGGTCGCGTACAGTTGTGTTGGCCGTTGGCGGCATTGGACAACCTCAACTTGCGCACACGTAAGGCCACACAAGTACATACATACAGACAGACCTATATACATACATACATACATACATACATACATACATACATACACACACACATACATACATACATACATACATACATGCATGCATACATACATACATACATGCATGCATGCATGCATACATGCCTGCATACATACATACACACACATACCTACATACCTACATACCTACATACCTGCATACCTGCATACCTACATACATAAATATCTGCACGCATGCATACACACATTAATTCACGCATGCATGCATGCATGCCTGCATACATACATGCATGCATCCATTCATGCATACATGCATACCTACATACATACATGCACACCCATGTATGCAACTATACATACACACAACCATACGTACATGCATACATCCATCTTACATACACACATGCATGCATACGACCATCCGTACCTACATACACACATGCATGCATACACACATACAGGCATTACTACACGTATGCACGCATATGCACATGCATGTATGCAGTTACATGTGCACAATTGTAGTTGAGTATGTATCCATGTAGGTGTGCATGCATGTATGTTCACATGTACGTGATAGTATGCATGTATGTGTGTATGTTTGTATGTATGTATGTATGTGCATGCATGCGTGCATGGTTGCATGGTTGTATGTATGTATGTATGTATGTATGTATGTATGCACCTATGTATGCATGTATGTGTGTGCGCATGTAAGTATGTGTACATGCATGTATGCATTGATGCCTGCATTGCTGGATGGATGTACGCACGTATGTATGTATGCACGTACGTATATAAGCATGTATATACCATTCCAGGCCAGTCGGTATGTATGCAGGTAGGTATGTTGGTGTGTACGTTTGTGTGCATGAATAAATGTGTATAGGTGTATGTGTATGTGTGCATGCATATATATATATATGTATATATATGCGGTAGGTTGGTCGGTAGGTAGGCCGGTGGGCATACGTACCCTGTTTCCGTCCAGCTGCCGAGTGACGTGATTCAGCAAACACCAAGACGGGCCACGCTTAGCGTCATTTTCTTGAACGGCTCGAATGTACCAAGTACGGGCGTCTACCACAACCTCCATACGGAATCATATGTGAACACACGAAAGACTTGACAACTATCATGCCGCAAGAACCAGCTATCGAATCTGCCTTCGGCCCATCCCGCCACCGTGCCTGGGCTGTGGGGATGAAGCCTATTGGATGTTCGTTGGGATCTCGTGGGAGGCTTCTCGGGGGCCTCTTGGAGACAGTTTGGACGCCTGTTGGGGGCCTCTTGGGGCCTCTGTTCGAATCTTGGAGGCCTCTCTTGGAGGCCTTTTGGTCAGTCTTGGGGCGGTCTTGGGGGCCTCTAGGGCCGTCTGGGAGCGTTGGGAAGCCGAAAAGGCGAGAACGCCACAATCATTCAAAAACCTAAGAGACATCAATGGTTTTGGCCTCTTGGGGCCCTCTTGGGAGTCCTCTTGGATGCCTCTTTCGGAGTCTTGGAGGCCTCGTGGGCCGTCTGGGGGCCATCGTGAGCGTCTTCGAGCGATCGTTCGGTGACTCGGGGCCTCCTTGGACCGTCTTGCGGGCTCCTTGGGGGGCCGTCTTGGCCCGTCTTGGAGCCCTCTTGGGTCCCATAGAGCCTCTTGGCACAGACATGCTACCCTCGGGGGCTATAGAGTCTCTCCCCGACGACCTTGTGGGGTCCCTGGGCAGAGAAGACAGGGCCTTGTGCCGACAGGCGAACAAGGAGGGGCATGTCAGACCCTTGGCTGCAGGAGCGGTGAAGACCGCCGCACGATGCAGCTGAGATAGTTTCACACGCGCAGAGCTTGAGACGCCTTGAGCCACCTTGGGAAGAAGAAGAGGAAGGGCCTGAGGCAGTCATGTGACAGGGCGCGGGCCGCACGCGGGGTCCCGCCCCGGAGGATGTGGCCCGCGAGGCTCTTGAACCCTTCAAGAAGTCCTCAGGGTCCTCCTCCTCCTCCTCCTCCACCACCTCCTCCTCCTCTCCTCCTCCTCCTCCTGAGGCTCGGAGGGGCACTGGAAAGGGCCGAAGGACACGCCCACGCCGTGCTCAGCGACACGAGGGCCACGAGACGGACGTGCTCGCCGCCTGGGGCTCCTCCGGGGGCAGCGCCGCCGATGATGACGCCGAGATGACGATGACGATGATGATGAAGAAGACGACGATGCGATGATGAAGACGCTGACGATGACGATGGTGATGATGTTAATGATGAGGACGATGATGACGATGATGATGAGGATGATGTTGATGATGATGATGATGATGATGATGATGATGATGATGATGAGGATGAGGATGAGGATGAGGATGAGGATGAGGATGAGGATGAGGATGAGGATGAGGATGATGATGATGATCGTACAAACCATCGAAAACTGATGGATTTAGTTGAGCACCGAAAGCGCGCCATAGTCCAAACCAGTTGTGGCACCTGTTTGGGTGGAATTTCTCCCTTGCGGTCACGAAGCCACGAAACCGTGTGAGGGAGGGCGCCACAACGGAGCGGCGCCGCCATGCGAGCTTTGCCACTGGGGCCTTCGGTGGGGCTCCTCATGGGGCTACGAACAGGTGATGGGGTGCGCCAAAATGGAGCGCCGCAGCCATGCGACCTTTGCCACTGGGGCCTTCGGTGGAACCCCGTATGGGGCCACGAACCGTGTAATGGGGTGCGCCAAAATGGAGCGGCGCAGCCATGC